GGTGACGCCGGAGTATGTACAAGCAGCAGAGGTGCTGCCATGGCTGAGTCCGGCGGAGTGCCTCAGAGGGCCTTGGCGCTGGCCGGGTGCGCGGGGTGGGACGCGGGCTTCTGAGGGTAGTAGCTGTACAGGTAAACCTGCAACAGGATAGCCATGTCCACAAAAACCTGCAGGAGCCCGCAGATGGAGAACTGGAACGGGGCCTGATTCACGATGAAGTAAACGGTCTTGAACGTGTCCCCGCTGGTCCACATCAGCACCATCTTGACACTGAAAGACAGAAAAGATGGGAAGTATTTCTTGAGGAGAACTTGGCTTGGGAAGGAAGGAAGGGAGGAAGGATCAAATTCTCCACCCCACAAACTGCAGCACTCTTAACAATCACGGCTCCCACTGCCTGTGGCTATGAACATATCCAACATCTTAAAATATCCAGCTAGGATATTTGACTCAGTGGTGCTCTGTAAGCAGGACTGCCACGTGCTGACAGCACTGACCATAAACCAGAACATCACCATTTTCATCCCAGTCATCCCAGTGGTTACTTCTTGCACGGGCGATTTTGTGCTCACGCGAGGTGATGTGAGGCGCAGGCTGCTCCCGTGCGTGCACGCTTTTTTGGCATCGCAAACGCTTCCGACAGACACAAGAAACCATTTCCTATTGCAGAAAACACAAACCCAAAAACTCAAGACAGATTTCCAGTGATATGGAAAGAGGGGAAACGACACGCCCGCAGCTGTTACTGCAAGGATGAACATCACTAGGGATTTTTACCAAGGGCACGGATCAAGAGCAAGGCTCAGGCTTCCTTTTGACAGCCATCCCTGCTTTCATCTTGCTGCTCTGCTGAGCCAGCCCCCGTCCTGCAGTCCAGCTCCTGCTCCCCCCCAGCAGGAGAAGCTCTGAAGAAGAGAAGCAAGTTCTTCAAACAGACCGATTTTTTTTTTTTTCAGTGCCCTCGACAAAATGTGAATAACCGCATCTCGGAGGCTGCTTCCGAGCTTCCTGCACTTTAACAGGAAAGCTTTTTGCAGCAGCTGGATAAGCAGGAGTGGACAACAGCTTTGTAGTTCGCAGCAGTGCACATGATTTGTCACCGTTACGAGCGGTTATGTTTGGCCAGCACTGACTCCAATTCATCACCCGTGCAGCGGGGGAGGACTCGGTGCTCATTTCCCAGGCACTCGGGCAGGGAGCTGGCAGGAACTGTGTTTTGGACACAAGCACACAACGCTATCGCACGCCAAATGCCGTAGTCCACTCCCTCCCCGTATGGGAAAGGCGGCCAAGAGGATCAGTCTGTACCACCCCACCGCGTTACGGAACCACCAGCCTTTTTGTAACTCATGTCATGCCACCGAGAGCGTAAAACACATCTACAATCCCATGGACCTTCCAAAGTGTGGAGGTGCAAGCAAGGCCATGAGGTTGAGTGAGCAGTCACTCCCCACCCAAGGTCATTCCAGAAATGTAAATAAATAATCAGAGAAGGAAAACAACTGGTGAGCCCACGATGCTGTCTGTGCTCACCACCTGGCTCCTACGCGTTCCCCGGCACCCAGTCAACTCACATCAGACCTACTGGAGGCTTACAGGCGCAGGCGGTGGTGGGGATTGTTTGGGATTTTAATTAGGAAGGGTGATAAACTCTTGAGGGTAATAAAACTGGCATCTGGCTTGCAGGCAGTCAACATTCCTCCTCCTCTGGTTTTAAGCTTATCAGTGTTTGCTGGGCAGCCGATCACAATTTGATTGTGAATCTGTCCTGGCGTGGTGGGGGACCCTCACTAATAGCAGATGCTAAACCTGGCAGGTCAAACCACCTGCTCGCTGTCGACAGAAAGGCAATGCAGAGATGCCACAAAATACCTGAAGAGGAATTTCACATGCAAAGGATGCAAAGTTTGAGTTGAAGGAGAACAGATTTAGATTAGATCTTAGGAAGAAATTCTTCAGTACGAGGGTGGTGAGACTTTGGAATAAATTGCCCAGAGAAGTTGTGGATGCCCCCTCCCTGGAGGTGTTCAAGGCCAAGTTGGATGGAGCCTTGAGTAGCCTGGTCTAGTTGAGAGGCGTCCCTGCCCATGACAGGGAGGCTGGATTAGATGATCTCTGAGGTCCCTTCCAGCCTATGCCATTCCATGATTCTATGATATTTGTCATATATACCCCATGGAGAAAGCTAGCTGGGTTTTAAAAGCGACCCCACAGTGCAGTGAAGACGTGGAGTCAGAAGATGTACAGCCTACAAAAGAGGTTACTCCCCCAAAGAAAGAATAATCCCCGGGGGAAGCCTTACGGACACATGGAGTTCAGCAAGCCAAGCGCTGGAAGCCCACCTCCAGCCATGTCACACACTGGGCTGAGTTTGCCAAAGCAATTCTGGGTTTTTCTGGGAAGCCACATGTGAACTCAACAGCCTGCAACACCGACTGGGCAACTCCAGGCAGCTCCAACAGCCTCTGCGTGTTCCAGAGCCCCCCTTGTCAGCGGCATCATGCCTGGGGGTCTCACTTGGACATGGCAATGCTCTACACACAGGAAAATCTTAACTTATCCTTGCAAAAATTATTTTAAAAAACGTGTGCTGGTTCTGTGCTGCTCTGCTGGAGATGGCTGAACACCAGCCTGCCCATGGGAAGGGGTAGGTGGGTTCCTGGTTTTGCTTTGCTCCCGTGTGCGGCTTTTGCTTTACTTATTAAACCGTCTTTATCTCAACCCATGAGTTTTCCCACTTTTACTCTTCTGATTCTCTCCCCCATCCCACCGCGGAGGGATGGAGCGAGAGGCTGTGTGGGGATTAGTTGCCAGCTGGGGTTAAAGCATAACAGACCTTTTTGGCACCCAACGTGGAGCTTGAAGGCTTCGAGATAAAGACAGATTTGATTGGAATGTGCTAGATGGAACTGATAGCCGTTGAGCCAACTGTCAGGCTCCTGCTCCTGCCACGGGCTCGCTGGCCTGACTGTATATTAGAGTCCAGGGCTCGTTCGTGGCTGCTTTTTGCCTTTGCTGCGTGCTGTGCTGTGCCTGGGAACGTTTTGATACCAGCCGTGGCTGTGTGCCCAGGCTGGCAGGTGGCCAGGGCATCGCTGCTGCTTCGGTGGAACTCCAGTGTGAACTCAAGTCGAAGGGACTGGGACCTGTGGATGAGTCCACACGGGAGCAGGACACCCCAGAACACCCTGAAGCGTCTGTGGCTGTGGGTAAGGCCATGCCAGAGCAGGTACATCTCAAAGTGTCTCTGGTCGTGGTGACGTCTGCGCTGCAGCAAGTGTACCTCTGAAGGGATGGTGGCCTGAGAAGAAGTCCATGCTGGAGAAGGTACACCTTGAAGCATCTGTGCCTGTGCAGGAGGTCATGCTGGAGCGAGCGCCTCAAAGCATGAGGCCAAGGATAAGTCCACGACAGAGCAGGTACAGCCCTGGGGAGATTGCAGCCATGGGTAAGACCACGTTGGAACAGGTTTACTTCTGAAGGGACTGTGGCTCTGCATAAGGCCACGCTGGAGGGAGTACATCTCTGAAGGCACTGTGGCCCATGGATAAGGCCACGCTGGAACAGGTGCACCTCAAGGCAACTGTGGCTGTAGATAAGTCTATGCTGGAGCAGGTACACCCCTGAAGAGACTGTGGCTCGTAGAGAAGGCTCCACTTGGAGCAGGTACACCCCTAAGGGACTGCAGTCTGTGGGTAAGTCTAAGCTGGAGCAGGGGCAAGAGGATGAGTTCATTGCAATGTTAAACCCGATGGTCCTGTCCAAAGGGACCAGGGGTGCAAATTGTAATGGAAATACCTTGAAATGGTTGTAACCCATGATTTGAGTTTATATTACAGGAACCACCTGGACCAACGGAGGACAAGGCTTACAAGAAGCAGTGCAAGTGCAGCAGTGCCCCAACCTGAGTGGGTTTAGGTGCCCAATAACTCCACACCACACACCACCTCTCCTGTCCTGAGTGACCACCATGAGATAGAGCCCAAAGTCACGGACTAAGTAAACCCAATGGACGTTTTGTGAACATTTCACAGGGATGGTCCATAGACTCGGGGAATGATCTCTGTATTCTATCAAAGGATGGGAAGGCGGGGTGGTTAATGATGATGTATTGAATGGTGTGGGACCTGAGCATGATGTAAATGGTACAGAATAAGGGATGGAGAATGTGCTGGTTCTGGCTGGGATGGAGTTCATTCTCTCCCCAGCAGCTGGTGTGGGGCTGTGGTTGGGATCTGTGCTGCCAACAGGGTCGGAGCACAGGGATGGTTCCGTGACTGCTGAGCAGCGCTGACACAGAGTCGGGGCCTTTTCTGCCTCTCAGCCCACTCCACCGGCCAGGAGGCTGGGGGGGCATGAGGAGCTGGGAGGGGGCACAGCTGGGACAGCTGACCCCAACTCGCCACAGGGCTGTTCCACACCGTGTGACGTCACGCTCAGCACGCAAAGCTGAAGGAAGGAGGAAGGGGAGGATGTTCGGAGCGATGGCATTTGCCTTCCCAAGTCACCGTTATGTGTGACGGAGCCCTGCTCTCCTGGAGATGGCTGAACCCCAGCCCGCCCATGGGAAGGGGTGGGTGGGGTCCTGGTTTTGCTTTACTTATTAAACCATCTTTATCTCAAGTCACGAGTTTTCTCTTTTACTCTTCTGATTCTCTTCCCCTTCCCACTGCGGGGAGCGAGCGAGAGGCTGTGTGGGGAGTTGCCAGCTGGGGTTAAACCACAACAAAATGCAATGGGCAGTTTCAAGAACACCACCAGTCTGCCACTGAATCAAAAAATGTACATCCTCCTCTGACCAGTAGCATGGACGAAACAGCAGAGAAAACCTGCTAATCACCAAGGTACTAGAAAAATGCAAAATAAAAATTTACAAAAATATACACGGGGACAGTGTCGTGCAAGAAGTGAGAAGAGGCAATCAAGAGCCCTAGAGGAAAGCCAAGGAGACATCAGAGGAGCAGAGAGGTCAGCTGGATGAGAAGAGGGTAGGAAAAAGCTGCTGGAGCAGGCCAGGGAATGACAGGAACAAAAGAGGACCGAGAACTCAGGACACGTTTCCAGTTCCCTGGAAATGACCTGAATTTGGGGTGGACAGACAGAGGAGCACAGCCTAGGACAAGGGTGTTCAGGGTTGCACTGGGTTTGTGAAGGTTATGGTAGCAGGGGAGGCTACAGGACTGGCTTCTGCCAGAAGCTCACAGAAGCTTCCCGTGTCTGACGGAGTCGATGCCATCCAGCTCCAAGACAGCCCCACCGCTGGCCAAAGC